CGATGTAGAATCAATTGAAGAGGATCAATCAATATTCTGGGAGCGTTCTAGATAGTTAGTTCACAGTTTTCAACTCACAGATTATATCAAGTTCGAGTTACTAAACCGAGGTCGTGAAGTTGTAACATACAATTGAGTACATACATAACTTAAACGCGTTTTTCACTTGCTAGGGACAATAACCAGTAATGTCAGTCCAATAGCCCACAGCTAGACAAATTTTTTTGGTGGAGACGTTAAGGTGGATCGCTCGATATCGAGATAGTGCTTGCCCTTCTCAGAAAAGTTCGTCGAATCGGAATAATTTTCTGATTCCGAACTAGCCGCTTAAGGATACAGAAGTTAATAACAGGACGACTAAAAGCGAACGTACACCAACGTATATTTTCATTTTATCTTTCAATTCCTGTAACAAAACAGTTTTGGACCCTAATGACGATAGGCATCCGGTAACAACTCTGTGTGCACGTCTATTATTTCTCGCATATACTTTGCTATATCGTGCTTTTTTTTTTAACACTACATGACTATAATCCTAAGCATAAAGATGCGGTGAGCGTTGTAGGAAAATAAGTTATTCTTTATTTTTTCTCGATGAAGATGAATATCTGACGTTAAGAATAAGAATTTATTACCTTCATTTACACTTTACAGCAGAAACATACCACCAATTGCCGGGGCAATTTCATTTCAGTTTATCGCCTTCTACGTACATACGTACGTACTCGTCTTCTCTTTTCGTTCATAGTATTTTCATTTGTTATTATCATTCATCATTACTATTAGTCTTATTATTATCAGCAATATTTTCCAGCTCTCTTCTCTATTATCTCGTATCCAGTTTAGCCCTTTTTTTTTTCTCTTTTGTAAAATCTTTTCACTCATCCTCTCGACGTTTTCGTTCTACGCTCGCTCGCTCGCTCGCTTGCTTGATTGCTCAGTTGTCCTTTTTTGTTCAGCACTTTCTTGCCCCATTCTTGCCCGCACTATCATTCACTATATACAATACAGAGCTGTATGTTGCCTTTTATCAGAAGACCCAGACTAGATCCACTGCTTGAATAGATCTACCAGTTCGCTAAGTTCGTTTGACTGCAATTAACGTAGGTAGACAGGTCAAGTCACCTATCGCTTGTCTGCTGCCATACTAAAGCACTACTCAGTTAACGTTCTAACTGACAAATATACTTAGGACCAATGAGAACCGCATAAGCGGAGTCGTACGCAGCATATAGCAAAACTGATTTGCTTTTACTCCGCTGTTGCTGCAGCAACAAAATGTCGACTTTTTAGTGACGGCAGCAACACTTATTCCGTCTGACTAAGTTCATACGAGAATGTATGAGTATTCGTCTATTTTTTTGTAAATGTATGGTTGTAACGAAAGCATACGAGGGTTCCGTACAGGGCACACAGGAGAATCCGTCGGCTGTGGTGGTTTACTGGCGGCACAACGTTATTCTCTTTTACATAGTGGGAATATATCGCCCAGCATATTAATTATAATAATTAGTAACGGAAATAGCGTTGCTGTCGCCTACCTGTATACAACTAAGCATGTTACGTGTTCTGCAATCAACGGTGACATCGTACCCCCCCCCCCCCTTTTTTCATGACCCTTTTCACTGCCTGTCACGTCGTATGCAAATTTTACTTCGCGTCCGTTTCAAAAATTGCTTTAGAGAATGTTTGCTCTTCAAACTCTTGTTTTGTCAATAATTATTGTTAATGTTATTTCCTATGTTTTTGTTTTTCGGCTTTTCATCAGTTGTGTTCGTTGTGCCAGACTACGTTACTCGCCATCTTTACTTTCCTAACATTCTGGATCTAAGAAGTTCACTGTTGTTCTTGTTATTGTTGTTATTTCATTTCGTTCGATTTGTTTGTGTTTTTCCCCTTGTTTTTTTCTATCTATACCCGCTTGGACCTCCGCCCGAGTCAAAAGCACATTTTAGCCTGGACCGAGCGGTGAGGCTCAACGGGCCGAAGTTTCTTACAAATTGAGCATGTACAGGTATATGTATATATAAGGGTATGAACAACCTACAACCTGCTTCCGACCGGAAGCTCCCCACAGCTGTTCGCCTCTGCCTTTAAGATTTCTGCGACTGGCGTACCTGAATGGTTCCATGACGGTCAGGTGCTCTTCTGCGTAATCCCTGGTACGTAGCAGTATTATCATGTCTGGCTTATTTTCTTAAAACTTTTTCAAACTTTCGTAAAGCTCGCCTTACTGATTAGACGGAGTTGTCAGGCAAACTACCATTTTTTGCTTTAATCGAAGCCAGTAAAAGAAAGATTGTGTAGTTACCTAAATTCCTTTTGACTTCGTATTATCACTATTAGCAAAATTATATACTCTGACAAATATAGATGGAATCCTATTTGTTCAGCTCTAATCACCCATTCATTGAGAGACAACGGGCGGAAATAAAACATTTTGATTTAAGATCAGAGTATGCCTATTGCTTTGACAATTCTCGGTAATTCCCTTAAATTGCCATACCAAAATATCAAAGAACTGAAAAATCTTCACACAGGGATATCACATTCAAGGTTAGACTGGTCACGGGTTAACGACGCATTGTAGTTCTCCCTTGTGTTTTTCAATAAGGCCCCGTTCCTGTGCATTCTGATACATCGACAGACGTACTGACTTCCTTTGTTTGATTCAATGTTTCACACATCCGATAAAACGAGTCAATGATTGCGATCAGTCTACTAGTCTTACCTTCTTTCTTATTGATCTTTTCTGTAACTGCTGATCCTATCACCTATCACCGTGCCTATCTTGTTACAGACCTATTGTATGAACTAGGTAGCCCCCTAGGCTTTCGCTGAGGCATTCTTTGTCGCAGGCGGGTGCAAGTTATATCAAACGTCTGTACCACTAGTTTAGTGTGAAGAAATAAAAGCCGTTGCCGGTGGCTGCTGGGTGCCTCTGGTCGCTGTTGTGTGAACGAGTTAACGACGTTTGTTGGAAAAGGAGTAGCAGGAAACACGGCTGCGAGAAGCTTCCAGAAGACGCAAAGTTGAATTGATTTCCTAACGCACAAACAGTGTCTGACTTGACTCAATTCGGGTGTCTGCCATCTTTCTTTGCATCGTCTGCTTTTACAAATGTCATTTATCTCTTCTGTGTTTTCTGTCAACTTTCCTTTGGTACTTTAATTACCCGTTTGTTCCGACCCGCCATTCAAACTGCTTCAACTTATCCCAGTTTTTCATTATGTTTAATTAAACTTCCTAGGAAAAATCAGGCCGCTGTTTTCCTTTATCTGTTGTCTTTTGCGGCTTCCCTCTTTTCACTTTTTCATCCCTGTTTTTTTCTCCTCCCTTTCTAATGTCTAAATGTCTTTCCTTCTTTCTCTTCTCAGGCTGCCCAGCTTTCCGCTTTACAGAAGTTGACTATGTGCGCAGATTTTGATCTATTCTTTTCCATCATGGTATGCTGCGGCTGGGTATTGCTGCTACTGTAGGAGCCTATTTTCCCGATTGGCGCGTACAACTCTATACTATCCACAGTGCACCCATGCAATCGGTTAGCGAGTGGGTCTGTTACGTTTCTACCGTTATTGTGGGGCACTTTTTCGGAAACCTTTGCTCCTTTTTTCGACTGCGATGCGTAACCACAATATCAGAGACAAACAACAACTCATGGTCGGAAACGCGCTTCTTCCAAAACTACAACGATAACTTCATTACTTGCTTATGTGCGCGACTTTTGGCGTACTCGACAGCACCTCGCTTTCGCTCTCGTCCATTTTTTATATATACATATGTATGTATATATATATATATATATATATATATATATATATATATATATAATAACTAGTAGTGGTAGTTAATTCTGAAAAGAAACAAAACGCTAAGTTAGACATTGACGTTGTTACTGATATAGAAACCTAAGAAAAAAAAAATCAAACGCTAGCTAAAGGTAGCCGCTCTGTACTAAGCGCAGCGGTATTTTTTAACAAACATAGTCTTAATCGTAATATACTAACGAGCCCTAAAATATAATTACGCTACAGGAAAAATATATGGTCTACCTATCTCACGGTTCGACATGTTTGGTTCGAAATTCAATTATTTCCACTGCTCGAAAACGGCCATACGTGGCAGACATACGAAAAAGAGAAAGCGAAACGTATTGGATGCGAATCGCTGAGAGTAGGCGCTGGCCGCTCGACCATTATCCTTTCCCTGTCTCCCTCAGTCACCTTTTGAACTTGAATAGGTAACGCCGTACAGCGCTGTTGAAAATATTCAATGGTGTCATTTGTTCTGATTCTTACGTTTGTGTAGCTGAGTATCTGTTAGCGATTGCTAGTACTAAGCCCGTTCTTCCCCCTTGCAGGGAGTTAAACTTTATCTCATTTAGTCACTTCGTAGGCACTATTCTATTAAACTTAGCTCCATCCAAGACAAGGAATAAAAAAAAAGAACCAAGCAAACCTATCATCCAACAGTGCTTTTGTTCGAACACATCAATGGCCGTATATAGGACTGACCCGTAAAGAAATTCAGGGAAATGCAATTTTTATATTGTAAGAAGATCTGATCTGCCCTTTTATTAGGCTTTGTGCACATTTAACGATTGTTTTTGGTTACTTCGTTTTCCTTTCCTACTTGTCTTTTTGCTCATGGTCAAAAGATTTATACCTCTGCAAAGCATCGTGCTTGATACCCCACAAGACGACTGTCTTCTTTTTGATTTTATTACAGAATGTTTCTTTTACCCCGGCTTTAAAGCACTGATCGTTAGCATAGCAAAATTAAAAAAAACTAAGTTTACTTATGCATCAATCTAATAGTTACATTTACAAAACTGACTTTTTTTGCTAAGTAGCAATAACAATGACAAGCTTCCACTGAACACAGCCACCGCGTTTACATATTTGAGAATAGATACTTACACACAAACTTCGCTTGAGTTAGGCTGTTTTACGTGTGCTGGAAGTACACGCGACGTATGATCAGCAACAGAATGCTGGATAATTGCAGCCAGGGACCCTGGCGAGGTACCTGGTAGCAGGCCTTGCTCCACCGAACTGGCAGAGCCCACATTGCCACCGCCGCTCTGTAAATATAATCAGGTGTAATGTTTAAGGTTTAACGACAGAGTGCCGAGTTACATGATGCTTATAGGATAATAATAGAGTAATTTAAAACAATAATAACATCGGAACTACGTGTGGTCTTCCTGTAAAATCTTATATTTAACCCATGTTATCCTAAGCAGAATTAATTCAAATGGACAACCGGATAAGCGATGCTTCATTATATAACCGTATGAAAAATATGGCATTTTACGTTTACGCAAACAGCAGGTTATTGATCTGTCTGGAATGACAGCAGGTAAAAAAAAACCCGGAATCTGTAATAACTAAACTTACTCAATAGTTGCCAGATGAGAGCCATATCAATTTTCTCGATTGCCGCTTTAGTACTATCTCTTAATACACATATATATATATATATATATATATATATAGGAAGGCACATATGATACCCTTCTTTGAATCAATGCCTTGTCGAAAATAGAGTCAATGTTTGTCCTAATAATGGTGTGCGCATTGCCTACTGGAAGGACCTCTTTTGAGGATTTAGTGTTTGTTGTAGACAAAAACAAAATCGTTTTAAAGCAGGTAACCTGACTACGCAAATCGAGACGCAATCAATTTTAATTGCGGCTTCAGTGGTAAATATACTTTAGCTTAAATCAAGGAAAAAATCTTTATAAATATTAGGTAAAAAGATTAGTTATTTTTTGATGTACTAGAATAAGAGATGAAGCTGACTTAATTTTTAAGCCAACTGTTGCCGTTCATGAGATAAAAGCATGCTATCAAATGGACCTGTTTCTGTCTGCACAGAAAGCCCTAAAGATGAAAAAGTGTGCTTTACTTTTGAGCAGTTTTTAGTGATTACTCTATAGATTTCTTCCACGTATTTTATCAGACAGTCACCAAAATTCGAGAAATAAACACAACTCGAAACGGAAGTAAAAACGCATGAATTGAACAGTTTTCGTTTTCAAAGATATTCCCAGTAACATACACGAAAATAAAATCGTTCTCTATAGATAAAGGCAGTTGGTACGAAAAGACAAAAACCATCTTAATATTGAAAGACAAAAAAACTAGGACCAAACTGCTTATATGCGACGCCGAATCCCCAAATATGGCTGAAATGACTCATCCTTACAAGAAGCATCAACTACTACGACCACATATAATCTATATGTGAGCAACGGAGATCAGTATTTCAAAAATGAATAACCTAGTCTAACATTAGTTAGTAACGGAACCACGGATATGTAGCTCCGTAACAGAAATCGCATTTGAGTACCGCTCGTTTTTCTTTTTAGTTTGTTTTTTCAGCTATCTATCTGGCGCCTCGAATCGTCCGAATCTCCTCAATCTTATGGGGTGCATTCAGACTATGTAGATGCTGCTAATTGTGGCCTTCGGGGTGGGTTAGAGCACTAAGTAGCCACTAGCAGTATTGCTGCCTTCACTGAACCGGATGTTGCGGACCAATGGTGAGTGCAGCTGTGTTCTCCAGATGTATCCCATCAAAGGCCTACGAGAAAACAGCGATACATAACCCATAAGCATCCTAGAAATGATACTCCGCTGGCTCGCTGTTTGCAACTAACTGTGAGCGCTGAGGGCTGGCCGTGTATATAATAGTACCTAGTCAAGGCTTGTTCATGTTACACGCATACGCACGATAGATGATGCTAGAAGCGCTAAGGGCTATATTCGCCGACTGGTGGTCGACTACAGACCGTGGCTCTTCAGCTAGTTTTCCGAAATAGCATTAGCAGTCGTTCGTAGCCTTAACAGTGGCAGCATGGTGGCTCCTCGTGCCGTGCACGAAACACAAGAAGCGGCCTTTCTGTAGACGTTCATTGCCAGTGGCTAAGTAGCAGACTCGTAGTGGCCACTCGAGGCATCAACTACTACGTGCTGCATACGTAACCCCTTTCAGGTCCTCTGTAGAGGCAGCGAGAACAAAAAAGGGAAAGGGTGATCTGAAAAACCCAAGATGAGCGAGTCTGAGAAACATAGAAAACGAACCAGAATTTAAAATCGGAGAAAAGTTTCAAGACCTGAAAAACAAGCAATGGTCGAAGCGGCCGCAACGACTTTTGTATGATGTAATAGCTCAAGGTACCCCCCGCCGTAGCTGCTGCTCTACGTATAGTGACAAGTTCTGCTAGGCCAGTGGACTTACCTTAAGTTGCTGTTGGGTTGTGCCAGTTGCCAACAAAGAGCGCGGAGGATGTGGCAGAGTTTGAAGCTCGCTGTAATTCAAGCAAATCTGGCTGTAGAACTCCTGGTGCGTTTGTAGCGCCCCCTGATGGTGCAGCGTGGTGCTGTTCATGCTGGTGTTGTCGGAGCTGTCGTTGGAGGGTGCCACCTGCTGTGAGTACGAGTCCGAGCCCTCCGGTCGGGTTACCTCGGGGCCCGACGTGGCCCCCACTCCCGAGGAGGGCCGTTGCAGTGTACTCGCTTGGTATGGCTGCTGCACTACAGATGCTGTCATCATACAGCTGCGCTGCTTGGGAAAACCACAACCCGCAATAGGACGGCCGACACCGACGACAAGGAAGACCGACAAGTGATAATACGGCAACGTTAATAATATTACCACACTCATAAAAACACACTATAGAGCCATATGAAGAAGTTGCATGATAGCGCAGAGCAACGATGCCATAGACTCATCGTACCACCAGCCCCGTGGAACACCAACATCGGCGACAGCAACATCGAGAGCGCCCGACACATGACAGGCAACTCGTGCAAATGGGATTACGGCGGAAGCCTAAAGTGACGGAAAGCCTAGCGAGCTAGTTTACCGAAAAGAAAAGAAGTGGGCAAGCACCACTGGGGTTGACGCATTAAGGCCAAAAAGATACAGGGTGCCGTTAGCTGCATTGGTTGGCTAGACCCCGCGTCGTTACGAGAGTATCTTTCATAACAGCGTGGTACTGCTCTATAGCGGTTTCTATAGCCTCGCTCGCCAACGAGGACTGGACCGACGGACGAATACAGGGGTAGTCAACATTCGTATTAGCGAAGCGTTAAGAGTGGGGTTGGCATAGTGGCCACCTTTTTTTTTCTTACCCACCACCAAGGCCTTCACGCTGGCCACAGTGGTTAGAAGAACGATTCTGGCTCTTATGGGTAGAAGACGGGCCCCGAAAGGCGCTTTGGATAGGGAAGCCAGTTTCGTCAGCGGTGGTTCCGGCCGCTGCACAGGCCTAGAGGAACGCAATTAGCCACAGCACCTATGGTCAACTAACGTAAGCCAGCACAGTTCTGTGTCCCGCTCTGACTTGCGCTGTCCGGTGGAAGTGGTGATGGCAGTAACTGTGGGTGAGGTCACTGTACTAGTGAATACTATCCAGCATTTGGGAATGGAAGGCATAGCCGGCTAGGGTGACTGAATAGACAGCCGTTCACCACTAGCATCTATTCGAGACGATTCCGCCGCCATTCTCCCGCCTCCTACCTATAGAGAGAAAAGCGGAAGTAGAAAAACTTTTCCTGAAAGCTTCTCGCTACCATCGACTATTCCACTTGACTCAAGCCGAGTCATCTTTACCAAACCCAGCCGCTTTCGTCGTCCTCAAAAACCATCTTGGCTACCACATTTCTATCTATCCTATATAACATCCTTTTAAGTATGTGTTACTGTGTCTGCCTGATGATAGTGGCTGTTTGGTTATCATTATTATTATTGTTTCCACTAAAATGCTTTTCTGTCTAATATAATGTTGCACCTATCTATTGTTATAGACAGTTTTTTTGTTTTGTGGAAAGAAGCTTGCAGTGGTCAACCGCTTGTAAGTCCACTAGTGCTATACTCAACCTGCTCATATCGATTCATACGTACTTGTTGTGGTCTCGGTAAAGTGGACACTTTTTTGGGCAGCGTTCCTTGTCGGGGCTGGGCTCGTGTCGAGACTTCTCTGTGAGATTTGCGGGAGGGCGTTGAGTTTGGAACCGCCTCTCTGATCGAATTCGAAAGCTGTAATGTAGTGTATTTGTTCAAAAAGGAAATAACGCTAAACCCGTCCACTTGTTCTGCTAGATACGTTGTTCTCTATTTCACTTGAATTGCTTATCCTACTCTTTAAATAATTCGTTCCTTCACGGATTTACTCTTTTTTTTTTTTTCTAGTCCTTCATTTGCGTCATTTTACAATGTACATTCTTTATGTATCTAATAGTCAATGTACTTTTACGACGTAAATGCTTTTTCTCGTTGATTAAATCCACTTTATCATCTTTATCGTGCGTGATATGTTGCTTCCAACAAACGTAGTAACTAAAGCAAAATGACCACGTTCTGCTATCGCAATTATTGTGAGGTCATTGGTAATTGATCTGACCTAAATACTCTCGGACAAGGATAAATACATGAGCAGTACGAGATAATTAATAGTGTGACTGTGCATGTCCAACCAATGAACCAAACCTTCATACCTGGACCTTGTGACCGCTGGCAACCTCTTTGTCTTTGTCTCCCCGACCCTTATCGCGCTGGTAGTACACCCCCGCGAAGATAAGGATGTTAAGTATAAGTAACGAACAACCAACGGCGATCGTCACACCGAGGGCTGTCGAATAGGTTCCCTGCGGAAAACCGGCCAGCCCCGACATGAACTGGGACTCAGAGCTCCGGTTTTGCTCCGACCCATCGAGATGATGTGGTAGTAACGGACGGCCCTCTAAAAAAGGTAAACGAGTGAAAACGTTGGCGATACGAAACCATTATTATTACTAGCTATCGTTGATGCAGGCGAGAACGTGAGATTTTCCCGCATCTTATTCAATAGCTGTACCTTAGTTTAGACGTTGTTAAATGCACGCTCCTACCTGTATAGGTGCGAGCCAGGAATCATTCTGATTGATTACTAGTATAATGCTTTATGCGACCGACAAAGACTGGTAAACGCATATCATGACAATTATCTCGCAAACTACCACTGACTAACGTGCATTTTGATCCTGCAAGATTATCTTCTTCAAGTCATATCGTTCAGTTTTGGAATCGAAGCCTAACATTACATTAGAGTATTGTTTCATAAACCTTTGAGACGCTTGGCAAGGCTTTATAATTTTATTTTTTCATCACTTATTTCGTTTTTAAGCCACTGTCCTATAGTATAGAAAAATATATATCTCGTATGCTCACCGCGTTTCTGGTGGTAATAAAACGTTTATTAACGGTATCTGCTGCAGATCGTTTTGACCCAAGAAAAAATACCTTTTATTTCTTTCTTTGGTGCGTCCTCTCAGAATAACGGACATCATTCCACTTTGTTATTTATATTGAGACCCCTTGCAACGTTCGCTTCGCTTACTATTGATGAGCAATATCAGCAAACCACCTAATGTGGTACCGTTTCCGGTTTTACCAGTATCGGGACCATTGGGTCGGGGTTTTGCCATCGACGGCGACACTGCCACAACGGCTGTATCATTCAATTGGCGAAAAGTCGGTAGAGCGCCAGAAGCGTGGAGCTAAGAGTCAAGAAAAAGATCGACAAGAATATGCCGCTATTATATCCTCTTGCTGTGATCAGGCCCAATCAGGTCGAAAAGCCGAACGCACCGATATCAGGTGGCTGATGAGCTTGCTGAACTTGCGAAGGGTTGCCGCCTTGCTGACCAGGACTAATTGACACTGGTGCCGATGCAGACACTGTCATTAAACTGATGTTGCGAACAATACCCGCATATGACGCCTGCAATGACAGGACAACAAAGTGGTAATAATACAAATATCGTGATTACTTTCCTTATTATTAATTATATTTAAACTAGAGTAGTTTTTTAAACTTTAGGTAGAAAAGCATACGGTATTATCAGTATTGGACCTTCTGTCGGACCGGCCACCGTTCATGTATTTTAAATTCTCATAAATTTTTTTGGTGGTTAACTTATCATATACCTTTTTCCTATGGCGCAAAATCTATTGTTGTATTTATCATTACAAGCATAGCCATAGCGGCTGAAGCCCTAATGTATGTGCACTATAAACATTTTACAACGGGTCGAACTCATATCACTGAAACGACGTCTCGGAAAGCCGGCTCCAGTTAGGCCATGATCTCTTTCTCTCTCACACGTATACACATACATATACGTTATATTTGTGCATATATATATCAATCCACGGCCTGTCGGTCGTCCTGACTGAGTCAACACTGGGTAAGAAAGGGACCGCCGGGTAACCGATGGCTTAGAAATGAGCTATACGTAGCAATGGTGTGCCTCAATAAACACGATGCTTGCTTGCCTACCTTTAAGACTCGGTGGTAGTGGGTGGCAACGCGGCTAATACTTCGCATTTGAGTGCTCTCCGTTTTTCACTTCCTTATCATCAATCGACGACTGAAGGATGCTATAGGGAAATTGGACTTAGGACAGAGAACATCCACCCTCTGTTTCTTTTTATTATATTTATATTTAGTTCCCTCTGTTGCATTCTGCCTCCCGCTCCCACGTTTAGGGACCACTGTCTTGTCCTGGGCTTAGCAAATATTTGAGACAATCATTGCGTACTAAGGACATCAGACAACTGCCGAGGCTAAGGGGCTTGGGTCGTTACGATTGTTTGCGGTTGAGCGTTCAAACGCAGTGGAAACTATTGCCCTGGATGAGCCTGAAGTAGACAGTTTGATCATCGATTGGGCGAGGGTCAAGCGATGGCTGGACAAGATGAACTAGAAATGTAAGAATAGAGACAGGAATGTAGGAAACATTGCAGTGGTACAGATGTATCCAGGGCTAGGGGCTCGCTAAAGCAACTGAACTTCGGTGCGTCCTTACAACGTGTATGACTACTGCTACGTCTACCAAGGCTATACACGGTTACTTCGAAGGTTCTACCGGTACTCACTTGGTTGTCGAAGTCTTCAAGAAGGTGGTGGTCTCTAGAGAGGGCTGCACCTCCTGCTCCTGCCCGATGCAGCTTTGGGATCAGCCGATTCCAGATCGACAGCCGATGGGCGTGGTAGTGATCCCTAACCTTAGGTTTCATCCCTGCGACAGCATCGGAACAATCAGCGACGATATCGATTGCGTCCATGTTGTTGCCGTTGTGGATCGCAAGATCCACCGAATCGAAATGCAGACGGAACAGACGTCAGTGGTGTAGAGAAAAAATGCATAGCAAAACAAACCATACAGTACATAACTCTATCATACACTTAGATTAGGACAGCACTGTAAAGTGCCACAAGGCAAGCTTTGCTAGAAGATAACAATAAAGTAGGCCAGGTGTGGGCACTTTTTCTGGAAAGTATCAGCCTGTCTTGTCTTCGTCTTACTATGCTAATAATATAATCGTTAGATCGACAATAGGACGTACTAGTCTGGCTTAATAGAAAACAACTTTCTTGCTTAACTTGATCTTCGGTCCTCTTTCTTCTGAACACCGGTCCTACATGAGCGCAGCCGCTGCAATTAAACACAAAGTTATTGCTAGTGCCACCGTAGTCACGTCGGTATGCGTACGTCGCATCATCACATGAAAAATGTGTTACAGACTGCAGTCTACTGTGCACATCCACAGTCATAGCGCTTCATTAGCTACCGACGCAACCACTATGGCCCCCTACCCATCTTGGCCGGTATTTCATTGTTCTCTTTCAACAGCCACGTGTACATATATATGCATAAGTGTATATTTATAGCGGGCACGTAAGCGTGCCGACACGGGTGGGTGCGCGATCGAGCGAACGTCGTCTGTGTGTTCGTGCGGCAGTGACAAAAATCGCATCTTTTCTCCTGTGTTTCGGTTATGAAAGTCGCTTAAGAAGAACAGTTGATACGTGGTAAGGTTAAAGAAGAAAAAGTTGCAAGGGCAGCCATCGGTCCTCGTTGCTCGTGTTGCTCAGGTGGTATCGCTTCCATTTTTTATCAAAGCCATGATCAGCCTCTTCGTCACGGCAGTAATGCGAGCTAAAATAGGAAACTCAGCTTGAGTTGACAACGACAATGACAAACGCAAGCATCGTTTACTCTACAAGCAATCATTTGGAAGAACCCGGAACACGAAGCAAGGAAGTTTGATTCTGCTGTCCTTTTACAGCCGCTGCTGGTATCGTTACTTTCTCTATTGCTACTGCGTCCGTGGTACTACCGGTATGGATTTGTTTACGAAAGAAATGCCTATGCAACCGAAGCAACCACATCATCGCCTTATCTTGCAACTCTACGAAAAAAAGGACTGAAGGATGGGGCCTAGCCTTGGGTTCGCCTGCAGCTGTCAGTGCTGGATCGACGCTTATAGGCATCAGTGTCGTTGTCGCGGCCGGTATCTGTCCAATGCGCATCGAGTAAAATCTCTTCAATCGAGATATGTCAATACGCATGTCGTCTAGCAAACGCATCTATTTACGCTACAGGCCCTTTACGCGCAACAATAGCTGCAATAACGACACGCGCAGGCCGCTGCTTTATTCTATCAGTGGATCTTCTTGGATACTTTAGTACTGCAAAGCCTGACTACAACACAGCGATTGTGAGACACGAACACGGCAACGATGAGGGTTGACGAACAAGAACTACGATCTGTGCATGGTCTATGAATTTTGTGGCGCATAAATTTGAATACTACTCACATACCTTCACAGAGGCGCATTTCGATGGAGTGCGTAGATAAGTCATAACAATACGTTGCAACCCCAGCTATTACGACTAGCTTTTACATATATATATATATATATATATATATATATATATATATATATATATATATACGGCCTTATTAAAATCATAGCAGGACGCCGATCGGAACTTACCTATCGTGACAAATTTCTGATGTACCGGCTCGTAGTCAGGCCAACCAACGCGCTCTGATCGAATTTTGCTCTTTGAGTCAATGTCGCTATCGGTAGCATTGGGAGACCTGTGAATGAAGAACGAACCCCGAAAATACGTGTGAAACGAAAAAAGCGCAATACAGTTGGACATAAGTAGTTTGTAGTAGTTGCAATCGTTGAGTACTGGTTGGAACCGCAAGAAATGCTGAACGTGGAACCGCTTTAAGCACACAGAGCTACTGCTAACTAATCTACTGACAATGAAGTAGCGTTCTATTACCTGGCTTCACACCATTCATCTAATGCCAACAGGCTACTAGAAAGGATACTGCGCATTAGGATCTATTCGAAGTGAACAAGTACATCCCAGTCTAGCTTATACTGCTCTATTTACAGCATCATCTCGTCTTTGCCATGCCCATATATTTTACTCCCCAAATCATCGGAAGGTGTTTTTCTCGCCTTATTTTTTAGGGAATATTTCTCAAATGTTTAGTCTTCTCGTGTCCCCATTTTTCACCCGGAGGGTACTATTCCGCACATACACCCCGCAGCCTGTCAGCTGCATTTACCCGGTAACACATGATTAGCCTATTTACCAGCGGCCGTATTGTAGGCAGATGGGTCAGCTGAAATAATCCTATGCGTTATAACCTTTCTACGCACACTCAAGATGAGTGCCGCCCGACGCCAGATATAGTGGCCATGACCGATCGGCTCCCAAGCCGCTAATCATGTTATGCTAACCGTTCTGACCTTTCTTCTCCGACCTGACCGCGGCTGAAGGCCTACAAAAGGAACTGCAGCTAGTGTCACCCTGGGCTTTTTGGGCGACAGCAGCTAAGTAAAGGATCGTCCGTGATGTTGGCCAGCCATCATGTGTATCACACAGCAACGCAGCGCGTGGTGCTAATATTATTTCTGCTCGACCTGCTAGACGTGGAAATACAGTGGGACACAGCAAAGAGAACAAACAGGAAACTTCACCACGCACCCTCGTTCCCTCAATCCCAATACCGAAACACCACCTCTAATATCAGCAATCCTTAACACACCACCACTTCTTTAGCCTTGTGTAGTAGTCATGCTGGTTAGTAACTGTAGAAATAACCGATTCTTGAACGGTACGCACCCTGAACGAAAGAAGTTCGCCCAGTAACTTATGACCATCTCGGACAGCTGTGCTTCCTGTTTCGAGTAATTGCCATATAGCGCTGAAGCGGTGCCAAGCAACGGGGCACCTAGTACATAGGGCAGGTCGTCGCCATTGACGCATCCAGTTTTCTGCGCATACAAGCTCTCTTCCGAGTGGTATCCGAATACGTAAAAGTTGGTCGTCGAATGAGTGCGTCTGAAAATAAGTAACTTTGTTTGTTGCGTGATTGACCCTGAAACGGATTAATCTATCGCTGGTTCGAATGTACGACCTTTTCTTACGTATTTTGTTCATTATATCGATTGTATGACTGTATGCATACATCCATAAATACCGTCCTGCGACATGAAAGCAATAGCGCAAGATGCTAAATTGATATCACTTACTAGAGCGCTAAGCTGCAACGCTTCTTTCGTGTTATGTTAACCATCTGCACGAAAACAGTTGCTCATACGCTAAAATAAATATGTAAAACGTATGCGTCTTTGACCAGGTTCATAATACACTCACATGTGAGCGTTACATGCAATGACGATTAACATGCGCCGCAGATTGCCTCTTTACACTATAATAGTTACCGTCTTAACTATTTTCTGGTTATATATAGCTTACCTATAGGCAACAGCCTGTGCGTGCAGCGATCCCGTTTCGACGATGGGCCCCACAACAAGTGCGTCGCTTAACGCTTCCGCCGTCTCTTCCAGAATGCTGATTGGGTGCTGGATCGAACGCGTCCAGTCAGTGTACTCGTTGATGATCGTCAAAAAGATCTCCTGCTGATGGTATGAATATAGATTCCGCACCAGCGTGCGAATGATCCGGTCGCGCCGTTCCGCCTAAGGTCGTTACGATAAAACGAACAGGAAACAACCAAAAATGACAAAGATACAACATAAGGTGTAAGCAAGAAATACTGAGTTTGTACATCCTTTCCACTAGTCGTTCATCTTGTCGATTTCGGTTCATCGAAGTAATTGAATAAAGAAAGAAGCTGTCTTTAGGTCTGCTCTATCGTTCTCGCTATTAAATTCGTGAATTTGGTAAAACGGGAGTAAGTAAAGGAGGAATCGAGGGAGAGCGCGGTAAAAGGCATCAGAAAAGGATGAAAATGCCAGAACAGGCTGTGTCTGTTCTGGCGTCTTCGTCCTTCTTTTTACGGTTGGCTCTCGCTAGGCATCTTGGCCTCGTACTCTCTCGATCGAATAAGCAGGGGCCGCTTTTTGGCCGACCATTGAATCTCGCTATTTTATAAACTCATTATTGCCATTTCCGTCACTAGCACCCGAGACAGTTACCCCTCAACATCACCCATTAACTGGCTACTCTGCAGCGGTGGCTGCTATTCCCTGTGCTGTATCTACTGCCTCTGTTACTGCTTCTGCTGTTGTTTAACCGCTACCTCGTTCGTTCCGATCGAATTGCTGTTGCACTAAGTGATCGAGGACGCTCTGCTAGTGGTACACTCTGCTCGTGATGACTGTTGGTCAGCTGCTAAGCTGGCTGACCAGCCCACAGTCTAGCAGAGAGGGCTCAAACACAAGCCCACCTAGAGAACGCTTCGGTGGGGAATAGCTTGGACGAGGTTAAGCTGAAAAAGGAGAACGAAGGGCTGGGACGAAGGACTCAAGAAAAAGGCACCATTGTGTCGTTTGTTGCAATGCCTCCTTTCCAGTCCTCTGGACGGCAGACGAATTCGTTCAGGCTTCTTAATGGAACACGAGTCACACACTATGTACATAGTATTACATGTATACAAACGAGAGACAGAGTCACGATAGACTTCGAGTACTCACAAGCAAGAGCGGACGCGACTTATGGAAATTCCGTTTCAAAAGGTTCGTGAAACAAGTCATTAAATTTTGATGATCACTTCAGAATGTGGGGAAATGGATCTGAAGAACTGATTATCACAATAGCTTAACTTACTTATATTTTTTAACGGCATATAGTGGTGGTTTAAATATACGATTCATCAATTTTTTTGTTCCTAAGCCGAGCAGCAGAAATCTAGCGTAGGAACATCACAGGAGACTTATGCTCTGACTTACCTCGAATCCGTGTTTTTCCTCGTGGCTCGAAAAACCGAAATAGCTGTTTTCGAACTTGACGACACCAAATAGCAGATCGTGCTGTGCGAACGGTGAGGTTGGTGATACCATCTCTTGACGCGGCTCGCCGGCGACGACACTGCCATCAATAGTAGGCCCGAACGCAGATAAATGATCGGGCACGTCTAGGATGGTCGCAGCGCCAATCAACTCTTGTACGGGCCGATGGCGGAGGCACTCGACGAACGCCGTGGCCTCGGACGTAGGACATTCCAGGTGGCGGCCCACTTCGCGCGCGTACATTGGCGCATCTCGGGCGACAGCCCATGCACTTAATGCCGAGCCAGACATCATGACGCCGCGCTTGAACAAATCTGTAACGGAAAATAATAATCAACTTGACACAGGGATATCTGTAAGTGTAACTGAGGAGTGAAATGGGTTATTCGGAGTGCAAAAAAAAAGAATTGAACTTTAAGATATAACAGAGCCAAACAAACAGATCAATGGGTCAACGCGTTGCTGTTCGAATACGAAACTCATACCGAAATTTTACAAGTGGCTTGCATAAATGCTTACTCTAGGCGCTTAGGCCGAACTACAAAGATATTCGGTGGTCAATCGTGGTCAGGACGACAGGACAGGTGACTCTTGATTCATGGCTTCGGCGACGCCAGTCGAGTAACGGCATCAGTGGTAATGTTCTAACGTCATGGGTTAAACAAAATTATTTATTCCTCACACAAAAGCAGATGTTAGATCTGTGAGCTTTTTAGCAGGAATATCCCCTGCGAAATCGCCGCATTCAGTAGATTTAACCCCCACTAAGCTGTAAAACGGTATCTTAACTTCATACTATTTTTGCTGAGAAAGTAGTCATAGCTTGACTGAAATGGTTCTACATGAGCAATTCTTTTTGCCAGATACATTTGTGTGTAATGATAACCAGTTGTAGCATTGTATAGATTATATCTACCTGGCATAGAAAAAAAATGTATAGCTAGCTAATATTTATAACTATCAAATTAAGAGATTAAGCAACCTTTGAATCAAGAACTAAAACCATCACAAAATCTACCTCTTGCATTAGGATCGCTCTTAAGATGAAATGCGTCTATGATTTGAGGCTTTCGGCAGGTTCTGGCGATAGAAAAGCATCCAGAAATCTTATTTATGTTACGCGTAGATACCGCTGCTCACCAGACCGCAGATTGTTGGCCAGACCGCAAACTGTTGTTGTTTCGCTGCTGGCCCTGGTATTGTTATTATTGTATTGTTGTAGGCATCATTTATATTGCTTAGGTCATCGACTATCGACGCAAAACGGCTTTCCTTTTCTGTCTTCTTTACGGTTACCTTCCCTTATCCACCCTATAATAGGATACCTCAACGTTACTGCTAAAATGGGTCCGAGAGGATTTTGATCAGCTTCTCTTGTCAACGTGGCCTAAGTTGTTCCGCCGTTCACGTCACGTCAAATGGCATTATCGCCAACCCACCAAGACCTTGTGCTATGCTATAGAAATCCGTCGCCTCCATTGAAATTCATCGGCAGTCAAAAATTCTAAACTAATCTGACGGCTGCTACCAATATATTCCAATGTACCGAAGGTGTTGGACGGTTTGGGTGGCTCTTTCGCCTTTCGGATCACACGCCATAACCCTAACTCCGTGGCTCACTGTCTTCGCTTTTTTTTTCAGATAGACCCCTTGGTCAGAAGGAACTCTTCTCTTTTCAGCTTGCAAAGAGACGAACAATATCTGAACCAATTTCTAAGCCCAACCTTGTCCAACGTTCCTTTGTGCAGACTCATACAACTGATTCGGTCGTAGCGCACGCCATATGCCAACTCACGTGCTTGCGAAAGTACTAAACAACAAAAGAAAACAGCTTCGTTCTTCTTAGCTTACTCTGCTTTCACCTGCCATCAGCCTGGTTTAGGCCCAAGTTCAGCTGCCAAAAAATATCCTATGCCTTGAGCCCCTGCCAGGCTCCCGGCTTCAATATTTCTGGCTGCTGCATGATTGGCCTACTCTATTAATGAAGCCTAAGAAAGGAGCAGCCAGTGCAGTCAACTCAAGCGCAAAAGTTCATACGGGGCGGAGCAGGGCGTTGTCAGCTCCAGACAATTATTGGTGGTGGGAATCCTCGCTGGCCGAGTCGTGCCCGCGTACGAGATAGGAAAATCTTTCAGAGACCTGGAATATATAAGGGACACCGGAATAGCAAATAAAGGGTGAAATGCTCACCTTGTCGCCAAAAATGCCCTGCTGTCATCTTTTCGTATGGTGCCTTTCTTTCAAGAAAACCAGAGCCGCTAAAATACAAAGGTAGGATAATAGAAGCTGGAGAAGTAAACAATCAGACAAGATCATATGCATGATATTGTTTAACCAGAAAGATTATTAGCTGATGAATGTCTCGAATGAAGATGTGGGAAGTCTCTATCAATCAAGTATAAGTCAAGTGAAGGTGAGCTGAAGTCTTCCCTGTTAGGAATTTCTCTTCGGGCAGCTCCCTGAGGTATAATTATACCACTATGCATATTTGCACGTTCAAACTGAGCGAAAACAACTATGCATTTTTATTATTTGCTCATCTTATTTGATTGCAGATATTAAGGCCGATTTTTAACGAACACGTGAATGATAGAAATCAAATTGATCCTAATGGGGAGGTAAATATTGTTATCAGGACCAGATATGATTAGAAAGCGCGATTTATCGATAACTGAATTTTTGCTATAATTGAATATAGTAATCAAAAAAAGATTTTCCCGAACGCAGCTAATAGAATCACTGGTGAAAGAAACAATTTTTAAAAATTTCATTGTATTTAAGCTATCCGCCTGTATTCATAAGCTATCCGCCTTTAAGTATGTTTTTTGGCAAAACGCAGCTTAAGATCCCACTCTCCGATAGGGTAACAGGTTACGTTGTAGAAGCGCACGCTCTATCGGCCCATTAATATCTCTAAAAAATATTTGTTTCACGTTGGTCCAAAAAAGGCAGTATTCCTTTACATGTGCATACGTTATAAACAATATAAATTCCAGAAGTACCCAAACAACCCACTAATTGCTTATGTATTTTTAAGAAGGGCCATGTACGTATTCTTTTCATTCCAATTCTGAGAACTACTGTTTTTTTCCTAGATCTATCAGCTGGCACAGCTGTAAACAGCAAGCTGTCTACCACTTAATTACTAAGTACTTCATTCTTGTTCGAATTTTTATTTGTAAAACCTGTAAGCTTATATGGTCTTATATTTCAGTATTACTAATATTGTTCAAGGACCATGCTGCTGTCTCTTGAACTAAGGATGAGGGCTGGATATCTCATCTTCCTATTTTTACTGGGGACATATATCTACGTGTTTATGTGTATATATACATATATATGTATATATATATATATATATAAAAATCCCAACAGAATTTCGTCTTCATTGGTCGCTTGATGGGCAGAGTGGGTTCCGCAAACGAGAGCAACACGGGCCGATGAGATTGCGTACGTTGATTTGTGCCTCCTTCGGTGTCTACAAGTTCACACTTTCTACATATTGTTTCCACTGTAGGTCGAAGCAACTCCGTTTGTTCATATCACACAACATTACGGCCAGCCTGCACCCCCAAGATATAGTCTCGAAGTGCCTGTGGCGCCCCACAGTGGTGGATGAAAGAAACCTTTTTACAGTCTTCCGAACACCAAGCCCCTTCACCCACATCATCAGTCCGATTAGGCTGGTCCTCTTGGCCGACATACATACGGCTAACTTACCTGCCTCCGCTATCCCTAGCAGCCGTAGCCTCAACTGAAACCAATCCACATCGGCAGGGACAATGGCCTGTCGTTGGTTTGGTGGCAAAAACTGACTGAACGGATGAGACACCCTCGATGTCAATTAGCGGGGCCTGGACTTATGCAGCATCTACTGATCTGCTACGATGGCCTTTTCCACTGCCACTAATGCAACGACACCTTTTGTTATCAGAACCGTTTGTCCGCTGCAACGTACATTATTGCCCGGCTTCCATTTCCATAAGTTGAACGCATCTCATCCTATTATCCCATAGCTCCACTCAGCTTTTAGATTCACAATAGCAACAGAAACGCTGTATAGCGTTTATGCAATTCCTAGCTTTGCAGTCTGCCGTTAAAGTCCTCAACTCTCACTCTGTTACCGAAATCGGCCAGCAGCGCTGTCACGAGTCCTAGAGACACAATCAACGTCGTTGAATTTGCATTGTACGTAACGTCTTTAGGCATTGCACCAGCCTTAGGAACTGCAATGCGGCTCGTATAACGCAGTAGCGTTCTATGGTAGCTGATTAATCTGTTAGATTTCTTGGATAAGTAAGGGGCTTTCGGCCTACATTTGGAAACGGCAGCGAGGCAATCTGGCTGCGTGACTGTGTGCCGATTGGCTATGTGTTTGCTGACTATGTAAATTACTCTTCAGAAAGCTATTCAGTAGCTTGTGCAATCGAGCTAACAAAGGCAGCAGTAGTAAGGAAATACTGAGAGAGCCACGACGAGAGTACAAGGAGTGCAATAGCGAGAAGAGAACATCCCACAAAGGCTGTGTGGACAGCAGGCAAAGCTGGTGTATTGCCATCCAGCAGTCTTTCCCATTCACATTCTCTTTAGCCGTCAGTCCGTCCATTTCGTTTCGAACCCCAGATACCCCATCCTTACTTTCCGGTTTTCCTTTCAAGCCGCCCTTTCTTTGTCCAGTCCCACTCATCGAACCGCTTCCGCGTACTCTCAACGGTTTTTTTAGTTCCGAATAGGGTTTCGCCGATATGCTGGGTTTCACTAGCACCACCAACCTTCCTGAACTTGATGTGTCTCGACGTTCTTTGGTAAGTATCTTGCTACTCTCGCTGTTGTTGTTGTCTAAGCTCGTTCTGCCGGTCAGCGTAACAGCCAACAGCAGGACATCATTAGAGAAAACTATTTGGAATCAGCTGTCATAGAAGACTTGAAAGCCAACAAGCAGAAAGCATAGAAAAATAAATAAAAATCAAAGTAATGCGGGGAAAGCACAAGTCCGAGCTCTTCTCGATGCTAGCAAAAGCTGCGCAATATTATTGGCCGGTGAAGTCAGCCCTCCGGGGCGATTCTTTTGCACGCGCACAGTTTCAAACTCGCTGAGATCCAGCTTGGGATTCATCACCAAAAAGTCTAGGAGCGAAATCAGCCCTAATCGATACTACCCGACGATGCTTAGTAAAATTATACTACACTTAATCACATAGCTATATTACCAATAGTAAGTTAAATATCAAACACTTGTACAGTGAAGGTTCGTTTTTTTTTTTGGGTAGCTGCTTGAGATTGCTGTGTATGAGAGCTCCAAATGCAATTATATCACGACGATCCGACACAAAAATCGGGGCAGGACTAGTGACGTTCAGTAGGAAAAACCCAGTCGACTGATCCACAATCCGTGCTCTAATCTAGCGCTATAAGAGGGCAAATCATTATATATAATGTTCTATACAATGTGACGGTACTGATCATGTACTGTTGTCAAATCGATGCGTGCAAAATAAATCATTCGAACCTTTTGCCATAGGGTACAGCATGAGAAAGTTCACACATGACGCTCCTGTTCCATGCCCAAAAATCGTGACATCATCTGGGTTTCCCCCGAAGCTTTCGATGTTCCTATGAATCCAATGAAGCGCTGCTACCTGGTCCAAGAGACCATTGTTTGCACGAGAAGCATGCTCCATAGCTGGGAAGAAACCTAGAAACAGAACAAAATAAATATGTGTTAGGGCCGCATATAACATAACGTCTAAAAACTCGTTTCGTCTGTGTTAGGAAGCCGCTAGTCAGTTACTACAAGGCTATGCTAGGCTAGTTAATTCTGGTTCAATGGATTTAGGCATTAAAGCAGTGCTTTCACAATCCGTGTCTCGACCACACGTATATCCGGCACTACCAGTTATGAAACGTTTGCGACACACCACGTGTCATAACATAGCATACTGTTGCCGTCAAACTTTAATTTCAGTATATTCTTTTTGAAATTAGAGACTTCCATTACGCAACCATATTGTTATAGACGTATGTACCTTATGCAATTTCAATCAACCCACGAGAAAAGTGTTTAGAAAAAATTGGGGTTCGTGTACGTTTCACTGAGTACTTAGAGACGTCGATGTACGGAGCAAGGCTAACGTCAGCTAGGTGGTACGCGTTATAACGCAGTAGAGTGATAATTACTTTATTTTATATGGGCTAGAATTGGTATGCGATACACGACCTATTAGATACGATAGATTATTCACAAGAACATTTAGCGGTCAGCTTGCACTTAAAATGTTTCAAGTTATTTCTTTAGCTACCGAGCTCTCTAGCTCTTTTTTTTTTCTAAAAACATGGTTTCTTAAAAGCCACAGACGCTTAATTTCATTTTATTTGCAATGTAAGAGTTCAACGTATATTGTGGACAATAAAAATAACGAATACTGGAACGGAACGTCGGAACAGCGGTAGTATTGCTCCGCCAGCGGTTCCGTATTAGGCTGGAAATATCGTGAATACTAGACGGAACCACAGCCTTCGTCTCGCACCTATTTTGTGTTGACTGTCTTGATTAATTCGATTCGTTCGCTTAGGCTAACGAAAACTATAGATTGACTATTCCGTTGCTTCACCTATCCGAATCCTCTACCCTGTTCTAATATGTTCGCCCAGGGGCCCAACCAACCAACTCCAGATTTGTCTCGCTCGTGATATCTAGATTTTCGATACACTTCTACGACGTGATCACCGTTTTTTTTTTTTTTTACTATTGGTTAATCGGCTTCTTTCCGGAACGCACGTGAATAGAATAGGCCGTCGGCCGACCCCCGCGGGGAGAGAGTCGGCCCTCTCCCCCGTCGACCTTTATTCGGTCTTGCCATTAATAAAATCAGCTAATTTATTAATTCTGCTCCTGAAAAATCACTTGGACATACTGAATTTCGATTTTTTTTTACTAAGAAATAATTACACAAATTCTATAAAATTATAATTAGCTTTATATACTAAACGCTGCCAAAACTTAAAACTTTTCAGTTTTCCTTTTCTTCGTAACGATTACTAATACATTTTTTTAAAGAAATATATACACGGTATTGATATATGCGATCGATCTTTTTTGTTTTGTGCATTGCTATGTAAGTCGTCATTAATAAATAGGTTCTTTTTTCTTTCTTTTTTTTTTATATAAAATACTTGCACATACTAGGCTAATTGAAGATGTAATGAACATTTCATAATGATCTAATTTAATAATAGCTTCGCTATTCTAATGGCTCTGTTTCTGGGATGTTTCGAAGATTTTTTATACTTTTATTTTTTTTTCAATAGATATTTACGTACATTTGTTCAGCATTTTTCTATAAAAAATATTAAATGACGAATTCGTACGAAGATCGGCCTTCCATTTTGCTTTTCAATTAACATTTATTAGAAAATCACTTAAAAAACATTCTTAAAAACATTGTTACATAGGCATAACTATGTGCCCAATAGGGTTTCGACAATTTTCATCCACAAACATCAGTTTTGTGTATGGGTATGTGTATATTGCATGTATTTATTCAAATCATCGAAGTTTGTCGATTGGCGTCAGGGAAAAACCTTCTGTACATAGAATACCATGTTAGGTTTCCACCTTTTAAATAGGATTTTCAGTCCGAAAACTGATGTAGTACTGCGTTTCGCTCCAACTCATCGATATTTTTCGATCGGCGCCAAGAAATATCTCTCTGACGTAGATTTCGATAGGAGAAATTTTCATCCCAAAGCGTTTTTAAGACAAGACGCATAGTTATGTGGTTTTCTTTATGCACAAAAATATATTAGAAGAATATAGATTCCTGTGGGAAGATATAATGCATTTTTACTCAGCTCGTTAAGATCTATTGAAGGAATCGACCTCAAGAAAGTGGTACTTCGTTGAAAAAAAAGAACGTTTTCAACTACGTGCTATTTCCATTAGAAAATCTTTTGAAATATATATTTTTTTAAATTGGTCAAAAAATGTTTGCCAAATCAGCCGCTACAACTTTTCAGTTGACCTTTATTAGAAATTCGTTCATTAGATTAGTTACGTGAGGAGATGAATCTTTTTGGTCATTTTCGTATTAAAATATCCATTTTAGATTCCGTTTTTACTCAACTTGTTGATATCTACTGACTGGCGTCAAAAAACCCTTTTACATTGAACATCGTGTTATATAGATAGCTTCCGTCGTTCAATGTTAAAACTGAGATCTGAATATACAGGTATTGAATTTCGATTCAACTCGGCGAGGATTTTCGATTGGTGTGAAAAATGACCCTCCACACATAGATCTCCATAAAGAAATTCGTCTACCATTTTTCCACTAGAAAATTCAACTAAAATATGACCCGCACAGTCTCTACGACCCCCATATCTATCTTATAGACGCGTATAAGGGATTCTTGTAGAAAATATAAGTGCACAAAACGAGTGATTTGCCCAGTTTAGCACTACGCTCTATAAAATAAAAGAATAAACTTTTCCGGGATGAAAAGTGTTCATCTAAGTAGCTTTGTATTGTGCAGCCTGTTCCGGAATAAAACCCTAGTGACCATTAAAAATTAGCCCAATCCGACCGTTTCAAAGGGTAAATTTAGACCGAATAGACAAATAAATCAACAGGCACGGAGCTTTACTGATATATAGAGAGATATATGCATGACATGTGACTGGTCTGAATGCCACTTTTCAGCTGCAAAACGTAGCTGGAAGAAGCGTCAGACCAAAGATCAATAAAGCTCACTGACATAGAAGACAGTAGCCACGAGAACAGTCGAGGTATAGCTGAAATCCCGGCAAGATTGTAGGAGAAGGGGAAATTCAAAGCCGACCTCCAAGCCAAAGTGTTAGGACGTGCAAAATTTGCCTTCAACGAAACTTCCCCCAGACGCGTTCCGTCCCAAAAAAGTTCGTAAAGACGACGCCACCAGCTCTGTCAGGCAAAACCTGGACACCTCCGCTGCATATGAATTGTAACAGCCTGTTCAACTATTATGGGTAAATGTTCGAGTCTGATCTTCCTATCAAGGATACACATTTGCGCTCAAGAAAACACTCATGCATACATTTTTTTTTACTTTCTGCTCCCTTAATACCCCTGCCGATGGGCAAACAAAGGGAAAGCAGCAGAGTCAAGGAAAAACCAAGTTGACGCTATAAAAAAAAGGACATGAAATAAAACCGTTAGATGCCGTTGGTTATCAGCATACCAGTCGCCGTTCTTAATTTCTTTCATATCCGAACTTCTATGGCCTGATTTTACATTTTGCACTATTCCTGCTCTTGCCGTTGCACCATGGAAATCTTATAGAGTTCTGGCCAAAAGGCAACACTCATTACGTGACGGAGGTCATGCGGCGTAAGCTTATATTTCTCAATCCGAAAGAACATGTTCATCACAACGCATACTACTGTCGAGAGGTATAGTGTCCTATGGGATACAGAGTTTCGCCTCCTAGCTTGTCGAGTTACAATAACCCGTGATGACAAGGAACTCCTTCAACGGCTCTCCTGTTTCGCTCTTTTCCTTTCTTTGAAAAAATGAACACCATTAGACCTGAATTGGGATTGTTGAGGTGCAAAGAAGCCGCTTGCACTTTCCTGCGATCCATATCCTTGTACGGCCAAGCGCTCAAGGGCGGAAAGGTGGTAGGGTAACAGTCGTCTGGTTCAGGAGGGATTCGGGCGAACGAGCTGTCGTTGCATCTGCAGAATGTCATATCCCCTCTTGGTGTGGTTTGTAGTCATACTTGTATGCGACAGCCGCCAAGACCTTAGAAACTGTTGTAAAACAGAGATTGGGTACTTCTCCCACTGCCATTTTCATCCTGCCTGAGAGGATGACCCCTATGCTATGCATACTATAGCCTAATATACTACGCCCTTATGATCACGGCGAGGGCCAAGACAGGTCGCAGTGGGACACAATACAGGTTTGACCGGAGCACTATATGCGACCGTATTATCAAGTAATGTTAGAAGCAAAATCACAACCGCCGCTTTGCAAATCTGATATCTTTTCTTTTCCTGCTTTGTATTCCTACTACGACTCTGTACGAGGGGTAGACTAGGCCGTGTGCCTTCTCCACCCTTTGTTTACCTCTTACTCGCCTCTATGCGCGACATTCTTGACTGTAGTCAATTCCTGTGAAATACTGTGTAGACCATGTTGTTCCATGCCAATAGCCAGGTAGTTAGGGGTCGACGTCCTGTACTCAGTACCCAGAAGCCCAAACGGAACAGTGTTGACTGCCATGTGACTAAGACCTTCTGGTTTTTGGCAGTAGCAGGACATGTGAATGTATCATTAGTGTGCAGAGACGAGAAAATTGAAAGATCTCTCCGCCAATCTCTCCCTTCTCACAAAGGCAAACAGGGCATCATTATTATTACAAGATATAATAGCATATGCGAAAAGAAAAATAACAGTCATAATCAAGATGAAATCGGCTAGTCTCGCTGTTGCTGATGCCGCTAACAATGCTTTCAAATTTGCCAATTTAAAAAGCGGCAAGTCCATACGCGGATGTCGAAAATAAACAGTCCCTAAGGTGAGCTTGTTTCTCGGCTTCAAACTCCCCTGAGAACAGCTAATAGACGAAGGCATCTAACGGGGACGAGTGGGCAAACACTCTATAACTTTAGAGGATATATGATGATGATGATGATGGTGATCTTGCACAATAGTAAAGTAAAAGCGTACATCTAACAAACGTATATGTGTAATGACGAACAGTTAAGTATGTAAGTTCTAAATGATGTGCTCTTTTCGATGTCTTGTCGGAGACACTCCTCAACTGAAGCCTGCGCCGGTAATCGCTATTGAAGCCAAGCACTAGCTGAGGAAAAAATAGCGATGCCTGCACTTTTCTCTCTCTCGCGGCAGTATCTACCAGTTGATATAGCGAAGAACGCTCTTGAAAAGACCTGTAATAGACAAACATATCATGTGTATATATATATGTATATAAAATACGGCGCATGAATTGAGACTTCTTTTATGATTCGTTTTTAAGATTGTGTTTGATTAAGACCGACTATTTCAACAATTTTTTTTCTCACATATGTGGGAAGTGTTAGTCCCACTAGCATTCAATGCAATACAGCTTCAGTTACGAATCTAAATCATTCACTAACGGTTTTCAAAATAGTCCTTCTTCAGTCTGCAAGTAACTTTCAATACTAGCCGTGCGTCAAGGTTTAGTTTCGTAAAGTTTCGTTCAAATACGTTCAGGTGCTTTAACCTGTATGGGTGTGTATACATATATACATACATGTAACTCGTTAGCTGATTACAAGAGTATACTTGCACGTAAAAGTGGCAAAGCAAAAAGCGATTTTTCGGTCAGCCGCTGGCGTATCTAGCTCTTAGGATTAAAGCTCTTCGTAAAGGGTAACGAAGATAGAGTTGTTGCCAACTTGAAGTCCAGCCACATACAAAGATGCATATAGTGCAGTGAGAATTGATTTTGCAATGCATGAGCACGTTTTTATGGCTGTCTGATGACTGCGTGGGCTGTCTTGACATCATACGGCACTTAAGTTTTGAAATTGTGGCTGGTTCTATGTTACTCTAACTTTGTTCACCGTTTTCTGTGTTTGTTTACAAACACGCTATGTCCACAAACCTGTACTGTACATAGTTTATATATACTGGATTTTATGTGTGTCTGTCACTGCCTATTGAATCAACGTTTCTCATGGCAACAAACAGGCGGGCTAACTGTTTAAATGAGCATTGCTTTTTATCCACGTTGCTAGAATGGCTTACGTATTTACAGCGGTCTATGTGCACCTAACATTATAATAATCAAGTGGCTTTTGAACGGAACGCGGCTTCCAAGGAAAGAGGATGTGGAACAACGTATATTTTTCACTTAATTAATACGACTACTATTTTAATGATTATTAAGTGAAGTATATTCGCGAGTGAAGTATGTCTGCAAAACCGGCTAAGGCTATGGCGGCGAAATTCGCTAGGCTGTTTTCCCATCCCACCCCTTTTTCGATACGAGATCATGAATGAACGGGATGCCCCAACATGAAAGCCGGTCCAACAACTATTCGATGGATGTATGAGTGACGTTTTCGTTCGAAGCATTAAAGCCTCTCTTTCTGAGCATTTCAGTTGCCTACTTTGAATAAAAGAGAAGCTAGATTTGCAGCGATAGGGACGCAACAACAACGAAATGGGGGCGCACATTTTATTTAGGAGTGGAAAGAAACGCTGTAGAAACGTGGCCCATAAAAACAAACCCTCATAAGAATGCATAATAGTGTAGCATGTATGCATACATTGCCCAATATGTTTGTGGTATGTTGTTGTGAACATGCGATACTGGCAGCATCGGAGGAAACCACTAGGATTCAATACCGTCCGTCCATGCAATGTCTACTAGAACTATCGCTATTTTCAAGAGTACTATAAGAGATAATCACATAGATAATATCGGACCGATGCAACCAAATCATTTAGATTCCACAAAACCAATGTAAGTTATTCACTCTATGGCGGCACCAAAGATCGTCTATTTCGCGATACAATGGGCAATTAGTGTTCTATTGAGTTCATTAAAAGCCATACCATGACTAGTTTTCGAATTGAGATCTGCAAAAAGTGGTCCGCATTTGGATATTAAACGATATATTCTGTTATCTAGAACATTGAATCGAGACGGCGCGTGCGCATAAACAACAACAACAACAAGACCTGGCCCATCCGGCCAATAAGCTTTGGAAATAATGAGAAAATTATATAATTAGTATGTAGAATGCGTATGGACAAAAGCAATTATCACTTTACACTAATTACAAAGCATACTATATCCACATTTAGTTTTATCTGGGAGAAATTAGGATCAGTTATGGAAGCTGCTGCGAGTCAAGTGTATGGGTGACTAGTTCAGTCGAGAAGTAATGGTTAAACGTTACCCGATCGATATGTAGCTAAGGTCTACCACTATCAACATTACATACGCCGCATTGAGCAAAAGCTCATTTATTAAAAAAACTGAAAGCCCCATTTTTATAGGTCTACCTGATGTATTTCCATTGCTTGGTTAATCGATCTTATATGAAAACTGATTTCCCGGAAGATGGCAGCACCTCTCGCTTAAGTTACTTACACGACAGGTATGTGCTCGAATGAACTAAGTACGAGACCAATTGGGTGACTGTGTCTACGGTATTTTGTACGAAGTCTTTTTAAGGTTCGCTACCCACGGGTGGTAATATTTTCTTATTTAAATAGTCTAAACGTAAGTATCTAGGCGTTAGGGTATTGCGGAAATGGGGCGTAAATTGAAATTGAAGAAAATCGATTGTATACAATTCTAACTAATGTGCTTGCATTTACTATACTCTAACCTTCCGTTGTTGATGATTAGTAATAATAAAAGTAAACTTCTATGTTTTAACGAAGCCGACTGCAGAACAATTCCTAATTTGGATAATCTTGCTTGCGGCCAATTATTATATAGATGAAGATATTGATAATTAAGATAGTTTAGCGGTAGAAAATTGCACTATGGGCAAAGGATTTTTTATGGTCATAAGCATGTTCTATGTCATCGTTTCGCACACATTATGCACATACATATGTTACTACTATTAAATGTTTGTTTCCCACGTTAGTGTATAGGTATATATTGTTGTGCATGTTTCTTCGAAGACGCGTGCATCTTCAGGTTCAGTTCTGACTCATTCCGTACTTACCTAGAATCCCCAGCCGGAAGTTGATGGTAACGAAGACGATGTTTGCGTAAGACGCCAGCAGCGTCCCATCGAAGGCGCTCCCGCTCCCCCAATCATAATCTCCGCCATGGATGAACATCACCACCGGCAGCTTAACGTTGCTTCGAGCCACTGTGACCAGCCCGAACCCAAACAAGTAGCGAAGGCGGACCAATAGTTAAACAGGGGTCGGACGTAGATGCGATGAACGCGTACGGGATCCCACCCCACAAGTAGAGTAAAAGAACAGGACAGAAATAGCGTCAGCGCCACAGTACAAGAGGATGGCACCCGACATACCCAGCAACGGCATGCGGCAGCGATATTGGCAAGAAGAACGTCAACAACAACAGAACAATATGAAACAACAAAGAATTGTTAGGTATTGTTTTTAATCGAGTCTTCTGTTTTCATCATCTTGTCACCGTGTTCTACTACCCGATCAGAATCTACAGTTATCACTATCTACGATTACACGTATTACTACGATTACGTCTTTTTATAAAATAAAAGACTCGAAATAGTCTAGCGAGGCTTCGTTGTCCGTCACTACAGTGGTAATTTGGTTCCGTCAATATTATGTAACATCTCCGAACACCCCACTGAGTCCTACCGGCCAGCACCTTTCACTCCGGCTTCTCTCCTTCTCTCTGCCATTGTCAGTATCTGAACAGACACACGTGTAAGCAAACATTCAAGAGAGACCAAAATAACAATGACGATGATGCGGATAACGATAACAGCTGTGATAACGCCGCTGGCGCGTTTGTTGATGGCGCTCGGACAGTCTGTAGCTATCGGGCGACCAGGCGAGTGACTAGATGTAGCTCTGGATTGACGTACTACTTGTAGAATTCTATAGTTTAATTCGATTTTGTGGACACTTAATATCGGCAAATATCTATTGATGGGCGGAGTGTTCACTTGGATTATGGAAGAAGAGGGTGATGGCCCGAGTGAGACTGAGCAGCCGAATATAGGAAGAGGCTGATAGAGAAAAGAATAAAGGAATATGGCGCAAGAAGAGGCGGTCGATAAAGGCAAAAGGCAATACGATGGAGAGTAGAGACACGAGGAAGAAGAACTATACTCGTTTGTTCTCGGGGGTTGCTGGAACGCGAAAGGCCTCGTAGGGTAGGTATAGCATACAACGATTGTGGGAGTGGGGCACGAAGAAAACAAATATAATAATAAAAATAAATATATATAATTATGACGGATAAAGCAGGTCCATAGAAAAAAACCCAACTACAAGTAAAATCAGAAAGCGAATCTAGCAAAGGATCAAAATTAATTTGGTTAAGTTTTGCTTAATAAGACAATAATAAGGTTCATCAGGTCGTAATGAGATATATAGTGGCTTTTTTTTTGTTTAATTGGAACTCTTAGGACGATGAACAGTTATTATTGTAATCAGTCGTGACGGAGACGACAGACTGCATAACACTAACCTCGTTTATCATCGCGCTTGCATTATAGATTATTGGAAGTGACACTAGGTCCTTTCCTATACGTGTAAAAGCATTGGCCAAACTGAGTCAATAAGTAGATGTGTACTTATATATAATTCATTAGTAATAAAAAACAGTTTACTTGAGGAACGACGCTAGCCCGCTTGGAAGCAGCTTCTAGTGAACACCTAGCTTACGCCATAGTGGTAGTAATATGCATACCAGCGATATCCAATCACTCCGCACCTCGTATACGTTTTCACGGTGATGATACCGCAAATCGACGCACGAGTGAGAAAGTGGAATGCGAGGTTAGCTTCGTGAAAAGGTTGATTTTAGATTGCTGATGTAGAGAGATGACGACAGAGGCCACATACCTACCAATATCTAATGGAACGGAAATAGACGCAACCAATAGCTGCATTCTATTCGGCACCGTCTAGCGTTTGCGCCGCGGTAGAAGACGGAAACAGGGCAAGAATCGGAAGAGATTGCTGGACGCCAAAGTATCGTTTCCCTACTGGCGCTCAGCTGGTGCTCACTATATGGTATAAGTAATACACATGCAGCCATATTAGACCATATTTAAGACACACGCAGCCATACTTGACAGTTGCCAGGCGGCGAAGCGGCCAATGTCAAACGTTTGAGCTGTGTGTAAAACGCTGTTCGCTGAAATACGCATCCATTACATAGTAGCGAAGAAGGAGGTGCCCAAAAAATTATCGTGGTTACGGCTAGAGACGATGGCGTCCTGCACTGATATCCTGCTAGAAACTGAGCCTTAGAGACTGGCAGGGGCTGTATTCCAAGCTAGACTTTCAGGCGGTGATCGTCTGGTTTAGCGAAGGAGAATCAGTGAACGGCCTTTTTCAACTCACGAAATTGCAATCGTAAACGACGATGCCGGCTCGTTCTGTAGGTAATACGCCAAAGCAAAAGCAGTTCAGATCGGTTACGAAATGGAAGGATCCAAGCGGCTGTTAGTCCAATTGCTCAACAACTGCCGGCCGAATACAGACAACGAAAAGACATCAGCCAATTTCGTTTGTATCCTCGCTGTTCCTTCTTTGTGTTCTGTCCGATCAAATCCTTTTTTTTGGACTGGATATTGCTGGCTCAGTGGCTCGCCGCTTGACTACTGGCAATGTCGTCTTTGTTCGTATTGCCTGAATCATGAGTTAGTAGCATCGTAGAGGGATATCTACAGGAACTCGTACCGAATGACGGCTTCGACAGTAGCGACGTCGTCACCACTCAGCACAACCAGTGTGGCCATTGCAGTTTCGATCTTTCCCGTAACATCTGAGGGTCTGGGGACTGTGAACGCGATAGACTTTTTGCTCAAGTGCCCCATATGGTACATAGATTTTAACAATAAAAATGCGCGGACCACGCATCAACACTGCCAAATTTGACAGACTGGAGAAGTCACTCAAATTGCAATAGTGTTGTCCCTTCGCATCGTTGATGCGTTTCCCGTCCATCCTATATCTCTTGTAGGCTTCTAAGCGTCTGCTGTAAATATACTAGTTATACTATAAAGAGACCAGCTTGCACTACCAGATGCAGTCGAGGGCATTTTTCAGACGACTTATTGCAGACGCCGTCTGATAGATGCGCCACTAGTAGGTAAGAAGCATTCCTGAGTACTATCTCAAAGCACATACAAAATGATACGATATTCTGTGCTCGATGTATTAGGCTTTACGTACAAATGGTGGAAGTTACTGACAGTTTGTTCCCGATATAAATTGTTCCCGTGTATATATTTTGCCAAATACGCGAGGCATCATCGCCTCAATCGCCAACGTTATAAGCATTGCTCTGTTGTAGCTGAATTTGTTGTGACACATTTTCTGTTGACCGAGATAAAATCTTTTCAAGCTGTTCTGTTCTGCGTCGACAGAATGATACGCCAAGAGAGTGGCTATCGTATGCGGGCTGCTACCGGAATGGAAGTACCAGTAAATAGAAGTACCAAGTGCGAACAACTACCGGCGTTCGAGATGGAACACACGGAAGTACGATGAAAGCCGTCATCATCAAACAAGGGCGTGTGGCGTGTTTGATATAGACAAAGTCAGAACTTGAGTCGCTGCTAACTGAAGTATCTATCTGGATCAGTTAGGCTTTCTTACAGCTCATAGCAACGAATATTTCGACGAAGCTGTACACGTGCTATGGGCGTGCACCAATTTCTATATAACATCGCCGAGATAGTGTTGAAGCAATCCTGAGAGCTAACTAAAAGCTGTGTCGCAAATTCCGACTCGTTGTGGCACAATGCTTGCTTTACTGAACAGTAATGCTTCTTGCGACCCAGCTGTATCGTTATTCCGAAGCCAAAAGTTATATAGCTTGTTGCCTGACCATGTAGACGGCTTAGATGTTAATAGGCTGGTCAGCTAAGTCAGGCTAAGACCCAGCGTTGACCTTAGTAATATATTTAGGTTCTGAAGAGAGTAACGCACGGCGAAATATGACAAAAGTAGAAATTTTCGAAAACAACTGGCTAATGAACGTTAACATCTTGTTTACAGAAAATATGGATTTTGAGAGAATGAATTTCAGGACTAGTGAGATCGAAAGATAAGCAGAAATGAACACAATTGGTGGAGTTGAAACCGATTTAAAAAACAATCCAGCTACCCGGGTAGCTGGCCGACTGAGAATCTCTGAGACCCATTTTTATATTAAGTCGCATCGAGTCTAATGAGGGCCAATAGTATTGAAGGGATCGGCACCAGCATACGAAACCCTGCTCTGCTGCTGCACGTTGCACGCAATTGCGTTATCGCCATCGTAACAAGAATATTATACGTAAAGTACAACGATCACAGGCCACTGTATAAGAATGTGCACAGAAATTAGCGTCACTTAAGTGCAGGCCGTCCTGGTTGGCTTTTCAGAAAAAGCCAAGCTTCCTGTCTACTGAGTCTTTCGAATTCTTCAAGTAGCACCACGGTTATGCAATAGCATTTGAGTCATGGCCGCACCATCAGCAGTAGTTCTCAGTTAGAATAATACAAACCGAAGCATTATTAGTTCAGCACGACGTGGACTCGAGCTGCTCGGGTTGTAATTCAACTTACTTAATGACTGCTTCATCCTCCTGTCGCTACTACTTTTGTAAGTTTAGGCGGAGTTATCGATAGCTGTAGAATATGTTATCACTGATTCTAACTGTAAAAAGGCAGCTGAATGCCGGTGTCACGAGCGACAGATCACGAACAAGGGAACGTCTCGTTAATCTTCGTTTTCTTTAGCTTTGTTGACTGATTTATACGAATCTTTTAGACCAGCAAACGGTTAAACCTCGCCTCTCCTGAGGGTTGCTCTGTAACAGGCCATTATCTTAATATCTTATCTCTGTGTCTGGATTTGTTTTCAATTTTCTGCACTGGGATAAGAATCCTATAGTGTGTAGGATAGTGAGTTGTCCGGCAAGGCACAACTATAATCAAATGATTCAGGCCAGTTTGACGGCATAGCGACGGGAAGCTTAGTCGATTACAAACTACGATTTTAGACAAGCTTAGAATACTGTTCCTCTAAGTTTTGCGATTGCTTGTATCTGGTTGTTTCTTGAGGAACAGCCAACGAGGCGAGGCCGGTGGGCAAATTGTGGGTTTTGATATTTCTAAACGACAAGATGTTGTTACTTGCAGAATTTACAGG